TTAGAACTTAGAATCAAAGTTCATGCTTAGGAATTACCAAAAACTGGAACAATTTAAAAAATATGCATAATCTTGATGGGTTCCCTTGAATTTCAAGGATGAGAAGTTTTTCAACATCTTTTGAGAAATAAAAAAGCATAATTGTGTGTTTTCTGAATCTGGCTTGTTTTGTGGTTTCAATCAAAAGTAATCCCTGTCTAGAGTGTGTTCGTTTTTTTTTTGCCTTCAAGGAGCCTTTTCACTCTCATTCTTGTGGTGTGTTTTTGATTTGGAGTTCTAGGAGGAATAGTGAACAATTTCTGCTAACTTTAAAAAAAAAAATTCTGTATTCCTTTTTTTTTTTTTTTAAGAACAAATATTTTGGTACCCATAATTTTGAAAAAGATTGATGTTATAGACGCAGTACTCATTCTTTTTAACATTTAGGATAAAATTGTTACGGTCAACTTCATGTATTAGTAATTTAGTCTTGTTCTTGAAGATTTAATTATTTGTGTTAGGTGCTCCCACCATTGAAAGTTAAAATAAACAGGTGGTTGGAAGAGGTTTGTGCATATAAAGCTCATGATTACCTTATCTTCGGTGAAGTCTCATTTGATAAATTTACAGATAGCCTAAATCTCATGCCCCGTTTCCATACGACACAAGAAAACAATAGTCGAAAACCTGGGAAGTTCATAATTAAGCCTGTAAGAGTACATGAGTTATGGTAGTCTTTTTAATACTTTTGTTTTTTCATTTTAATTGAGTTCTTGTTTTTGTGAGTGATAGCGTGTAATCATTTTCTTTTCTGGGTTAATCTACGTACATGGAAAGGAATTTTGTCAAGTAAGAGCCGTTTGAGTCTGATTCAAGTTCTTCTTATGATTATGCCGCCTCTCATCTACATAATTTATCTTGGGAACCTATGTGGTGATTGTTATTATCTTCTTGTATTTCCTAATCATAATCGTGTTATTATTGGACGTGTTTCAGATTTTGGCAGCGACGGAGAACACATTGGCCTAGATCGAATGGCTATTGAGCAATACTTTGAAGACACTATGGCTTTCAATGAGTCCAACGGAGAAAATATTAATTGCCTAGAGAAG